TTTGTTTGAATTGGATTTAGGAAAATTAGTATGTTTTTGTATACCAGAGAAATTAGTCCTTGGCCTATGATAGGTGTTGCAAATAATGTATTTCAGTTTGCCTTTTGTCTTTGACTGGCTTATGCTGGTTTTTGCCAGGCAGAGTTCTGCAAAAATTGTTATGTAATTGAATCAGGTGTGTTTTGTGACACAGTTAGGAAGGCCATCATTATACCCGAGGTTATAAAATAATTCTCCCATCAAAGCTTCCACTTATCCACTTATTTCCTTATCAGTCAAACAGGGATTAAAAACAGCCCCACTTGTCCCATGGGGTTACTGTGAGTACCAAATAAGAGAAATGTTATGAAAGGGCTTTTAAAATATAAAGCAGTATATACACAAAAGGCATGTTGTCATCATCACCATTAATTGTATCAAATTCTAGCACTAACTAGCTGAGTTCTGTTTTTGCTTTCATTTTGCAGAGCAGAGATTGAAGGGCAGAATTATTCACTGAGCTGGCCAAGCATACTTTAGTTGGTAGCAACATGGAGAATGCCACAAAATGTCAACTCTTTTTTAAAAACATTTTTTTCTTTATTGATTTTAGAGAGGGAGGAAGGGAGAGGGAGAGAGAGATAGAAACATCGATGAGAGAGAACATTGATTGGCCACCTCCTGCATGCCCCCACTGGGAATTGGGCCCACAACCTGAGCATGTGCAGTGACCGGGAATCAAACTGGCGACTTCTTGGTGCATGGGTGGACGCTCAACCACTGAGTCATACTGGCCGGGCAAGGATGTCAACTCTTATTGGTCATCTTAGGAAGGTTTCATATTTGACCAAAAAAAAAAAAAAAAAAAAAAATAGCCTTAAATGAAAACCTATTCTGGTCACCGTACCTTCAAGTAGATTTTTTTTTTTCCCCTACCAAGAAAAGAAACCAGTTTAGTAGGTTTTGTATTATTCAACTGTACTTGTAATTTAAGCCTTATCAATGGCCATTTGTGATATGCTTTCCTTGTATTTTTTAACCCCAAATTCTTTTTTAAAGAGCAGACTTTAGGTTGAACACAATTGAACAAAATCTCAATATTTGACAGCAATTATTCATATGACGATGACTCTGGGATAGAATCATGTACTGGTTAAGTCCTTGGGCTCTGATGTTGGTCAGACCTGGGTCTGAATGTGATTCAGTTAGTATCTAGGTGTATGAACTTTGGCAGATTGCTTTACTGCTCTGTGCCTCTGTTTCCCCACATGTAAAGCAAGGATGATTACAGCACCAGACCTACTAGGTTGCAGCAGAAGTCAGTGATTAAATCTATATAAAGTGCTTGGCCCAGTGCCTGCATAGAAAAAGGGCTTGATAAATACTAGCTACTAGTGTAATTCAGGAATATCTAAAATAATTCAGGAAATGAGCCCAAGGGAAATGGAGTATCCCCTTCCAGTGGGTATTCCCATCCTGTGGAGTTGGCACAGATCAATGGTAGAGCCCCTTTTCCTGCTGCATACCACATTTATTTGGGGGAGAGATCTAGTTTCTGTTACTGTCACATGAGGGGTGAACATCAGGAAGAGCAGTGGTTCTTATATAGCAGGGAAGAAGTGACCATGTGGAGGGGACTGTCACAGAAGGGGAATGGCAGCTGGGAGACTAGAGTGAGCTGTGAGGAGGGTTAGAAGGAACAGGGTGGCGTCATTTGCCAGGTGTCTTGCCCAGGTCACATCACCTATTCTTGGGGACAGAAGATTCCAGATGATATGATTCACTATGTGTGGTGATTTACTTGGCAGGGCACAACCTTTTTCTAGTTTTTTTTTTCATTTTTCTTCTTTCCTCTCTTCCTGCTTTTAACCCAGATATCTGTGGGGCCCCAAATCTTGTTGCACTGTCCCAGAATGGTTGAACTGTAAAAAAGAAATAACAACTGTGGGACATCTGCTACATGCCAGGCACTTTATTTTATTTTTGTTAATCCTCACCCAAGGATATTTTTCCATCGATTTTTAGAGAGAGTGAAAGGGAGGGAGGGAGGGAGAGAGAGAAACATTGATATGAGAGAGACACATCAATTGTTTGCCACTCACCTGACCCTGGCTGGAGCCGGGATGGAACCTGCAACCCAGGTAGGTGCCCTTGACTGGGAATCAAACCCGAGACCCCTTGGTCCATGGGCCAATGCTTTAACTGCTGAGTCAAACCAACCATGGCTGCCAAACAATTTAAACCCCCGATCACATTTGATCCTGTGCAATGAGTGAGGTCACCATCATTTTATAGATGAGGAAACTGAAGCTCAGAGAAGACACAGAAGCTGCCTAAGGCCCCGTACAAGCTGGTAAGCCACAGAGCCAGACTTTACAAGACCAGTGCTCTAACCCCTGAGCGTTAGGGCCCGCAGAGCCAGACTTTAAATCACCAACTGCCTTACGCCAGAATCCAGCTTCTCCTGCCATTTAGCACACAGCGTTATACCATACATTATTTCAAATTCATATGGATTTTTGTGACATTCCTGTGGCTCAGTGGCCTACACATGGGTCTCCCAGAAATATCTGTGGATTTAAACTTTTAGTAATGAAGAGAATAACTGACATATTCTTGTTCCTGTCTCAAGTGGGCAACGAGCAGGTTAAGTCACTAGCTCTAGTTCTCAGAGCTAGTCATGGCAGAGCCAGGCAGGGGATCCGGTCTGTCACATGCCAAGGTGTGCGGTGCTGCCTCCCATTTTTCTCTGAGAGTCTAGGCTTGAGGCAGGGATGCTATTCTCTGAGCACATCTTTCTCGGGGAACACTTGTGGCGTTCTCTGTTTTAAACTAGTCCAAAGGGGAACTGAAGAGGACCCGAGTATGCTCGTGGGAAGGGTGAGGTGGGTAGGGTGAGGCGGGTAATGGGGGTTGCAATGGCTGTGGGCCAGTTGCGAATTATGAACTTTGCAACCTCCGGTCTCTGGGCGTGAAGCTGAAATAAGCCCTGTGATTCACAAGCTGGGTGTCTCCCTTTGCTTTCTCCAAGCAGACCCTGTGCATTCCCACCTGGAGACCTGAGCTCATACTGTTTGCTCCATGGGAATGCCCTGCTGCCCACACCTCCCTCGCCATGCCTATCTGGGGAGACCCGTCACAACTGCCACCCTCTCTAGGAAGCCTCAGTGGATTGGCATGGATAATCTATTCATTTATGAATCTGAGTTAAGTAATTTATTATACATTCAGAAAAGGCAAATGGAAGACTATTTTGAGAAATTTGCGAAAATACCATACTCAGGGGATAATACATGTTAATAATAATCTTAATATGTGAAATTCCATGGGTCAGTGACCCTATATAGTGCTTGATTTTCAATTTTATTCTACCTTCATGGCACGTGAAATGGGTTTCAGCTCTCTAGTAGAATGCTGGAGACTTTGTATTTGCATGGGCAGACTCTGGTGTCAGACAGTTGAGGTTTGAATGCTGGTGATCTTGGATAAGTCATTTCCCATATCTGTGCCTCTGTTCCTTCCTTTGTGAAAGAGCGATACTTATGCTATGTTGTTAGGTTGTTGGGGGATGTCATGGGATAACGATAATAATAATAACAATAATAATAATGTGTTGAGTGCTTCCTATGTGCTAGGCACTGTGCTAAGCTGGGCTTTACATTCTTATTTGATCCTCCCAAGAGCTCCTTCATTCTTGAAGTCCCCCTACCCTGCAATATTTTCTTCCCCATAGCACTTACCATCTTCTAATATATTACATAATTTACTCATTTTGTTTATTTTTCATCTGTCCCTCCCAGGGCCTCTTGCCTTGCACAACTCCAGGAGGCACCATTCACAGTGCATTCTGAGTTCTTCTCTGGGCTTCTTTTACTGAGAATATTAATGTGGTGACTTCCTAGAGTTGTGTGATATGGAGACCCTGGAGCTCCAGGAGGGCAGGGATTTTCCCCCCTATTTTGATCATTGCTGTATCCCTATACCTAGAACAATGCCTGACCTATAGTAAGCTTTCAATAAATATTTGTTGAAAGAAAGAATAAAAAAGCCCCCAAAAAGAGCCCATTTTATTGGTGAGAAAATTGAGGCTTGATGAGTTGTTAACTTGCCTAAAGCCCAGCGAGACACTGAGGTAGCTGGGTGTTTCCAGCACGTCTTCCCTCAATGGGTTTGCAAAGCTGCATGTCTGAAATGCCTGGCATTGTCCCTGCCACCCCATAATTGCTCAACAAATATTAATGAGCTTGCCTACATGGGTCAGCCCCTCTACTCTGCTAGACAATCGCCACAGAGTGACAAATTGTCACACAGCTGTTGCTTTGAGAAATTGGATAAATTGCACAGTGCAAAGAAAAGGTGGACCTTTCAGAGATTTTGGAAGAAAATTCCCTAATCCGACTGCTAAAGGTTGGAGTTTGCAGGGGCCTCTCTGGCCTTCCTAGCCCGATTTTTTTCCCCTGCTGCCTTCCCTTTTGTGAGTATCTCTTCCCCTTTTTGCTTGCAGTGAGTTCTGCTCTCCTGTAGGCTACAATGTGTCAGTTGTTATAAAATCCTGGAGGTGGAGCTTAGTGACGAGGGCGAGGGTGGTGGGGGAGTGCTCAGCCAGCCCTGCTGGGCGAGCAGTCCAGCTCTGGGTTCACCCCGAGCTTAAACCTTGCAGCAAGAGAACTTCCTTCTCGCTCTTCTGGCTTTGATCCTCACTGTACCTCAAACCAGAGGCGCTGAAGGGAGGGAGGATGCGAGATGACCGGCTCTTTGGCAACCTGACCATCTCCTTAGCAGAGCCTTGGAAAGCCAGCCAGGGGCTGACTGCACGACCAAGGAGGCGCCGCGCCTCTGGTGGATGTGTGTTTGTGTGTGTGTGTGTATGAGCGGGTGAGTGGGTGTGAGGGAGGGTGTGTGTGTGTGTGTGTGCATGTGTGTGTGTGCATTGTGACTGTGTGTGTGCGTGTCCAGATGAGTGTGCGAGTGCATGCATGAGAGAGAGAGAGAGAAAGAGAGCAAGAGAGAGTGTGTGTGTATGTGAGTGAATGTTCTTGGTTATTATTTTTTGGAAGAAAAACCTTGAAAATCTGGGGCAGGTTACCGTGCTCCCAGGGTGGTGGTTCTCCTTTTGCAAGAGGAGCTCACCAGACCAAGCTACTAGAGACATTTTTCGGCGAGTAAAGAGTATTTTCCTTCCAGGAGAGGGATTTTTCCCCTGGCTCTGCAGCCAAGTAAAAGAGATTAGCCCCTAAACCTGTGAAATCAACCAGAGCCGTGTGATTACCAGAGCTTGAGAGAGAATACGGGAAGAAAAGGAGAAAAAAATTAAATAGCCTGTCAGTGCCTTTGGCCACGTTGGAAGATGTCATCTCAAACTAAGTTCAAGAAAGACAAAGAGATCATTGCTGAATATGAAGCCCAAATAAAAGGTGAGATGCGGGCTGGGGAGTCATGCCTCCCCTCCCCTTTCCTTATTCCCTTGCTTTGGCTTTCCCCCTTTTCCTCCCTGCCATTATGAAATGTTGTTATGCATCAATAATCTTATTGTGAGGAGAAACAGTGGCAGCCGTACAAGTCCAGACTGGTTTCAACTGCAGAGAGCGCTGGTGCTGGGTGTATGGATTATGGAGCGGCAGCGATCACTGCATTGCAGGTGTGTGAGGAGGATGCGACCCCGGCTTTAGGAGTGTCTCAGATACTCCATCATCTTGGCTGTGACATGCCACTCTAAGGCCATTTTGATAGTCACACCTCCCCCCTCTTAAAAGTCTCTTAATATGGTGTCTATTTTTTACGGTCTGCTGTTTTTTTTTTCCTCCTTTATGTTGTTGCTTTGCCTCTGCGCCTTTCTCTGGGCATGCATGCGCGCAGGGAAGTAGCACAGGGAGGCTGCACTGCTTTGTCGGTGTCTCTCGGCGGGCCTGGGCTGCCATGGATGAACTGTGATGGGGCATATTGATCCAAACTAATGCAGGCATTTAGGTGTGAAGAGGGAGCTCGGTGCAGAAAATGTATTCTCTTGCAGTGTGCAGCCCCAGTCACCTTCCGTGCACTAGCGTTTTGGGTCATCAGCTTTCATTCAAAGCCAACAGCTCAGTGCACTATGTCGGCTGGTAGGCGCTGCCTGGCTTCCGTGGTGCCAGGGGAAGCCTGCCAGGATGGTGAGATGACCTCTGGCTGCTTGTTCCTGCGATGGTGCCACTGGGTGCACACCCCTCTCAGAAGCCGCTCCCTAAATCCACAGTAGCAAGGCAAAATAGGACACTGGACACAATCGCGTAGACAAATGGAGGCAGAACCCTCATTCAGGCCTGAGTTCTAGGCTCAGCTTTGGCAAGGAAAACCTAAAAGCACCATTCACCATGCTCACTCTTTCTCCAAGGATGTACCCTTAGGGAAGCTGGGGTCTGTGCCCCTTAGCATTTTTGTTTTTCTGGTCACCATTCTCCTTGCTGCGACACAGGGTGTGTTGTGGTCTCATAGAAAGAGTAAAGATGGAATACATCTTCGGTGGATGTTGATGCCTTCCCTGGAGGTGATGAGTGCACTATGGAGCAAGTTGGTGACTCGGGGCTCAGGCGATCCAAGGTTGCCACACCTGCTTCTAGGTGCTGCTGCAGCTCAAGACTCAGGACCGGTGGGAGGCTGGACAGTCACAGCTGCTGTACACGCTTCAGATGCTCGGGAAACTTTGGGAGGGGAGCAGCCATCAGCGGAGAGCTTTGGTTTTTTCCAGTCTCCCAACTGTCTTATGCCTTTTAGTTCTGGTCGAACCTTGCATGCTAATCACCTCTGGGTAGACCCTGGGGTGAAATAAGCAGAAAACCCTCTGGTCTCCATCCCTCTAGTTTTCAGTTCAGTGTAGAAAACAGTGACTTACGATGTTTCAGCCTTGCTGACAAGCCCTGGTCAGAGATTTGAATTCACCCGACAGCTCAATACAAAACCCAGTTAGGGAGTTTATGTTTTATAAGACTAATTTGTCCGAATTTTTAAAAAACTGAGGTTGCCAAGGGAAAAAAAAAAAAGCCATAGCAGAGAAGGGGATGCTGAGTTTTGGACGGGTTGAGGTTTTTATAAGCATAGTCTTGGTAGGAAATGTGCTGATCACTTTGAAGGGTTGCTACCACCGGCCGGTGAACTTTGCTTGAAGATCTATTAAGCATTTATTGTTCTGGCTGATTCTTAACTTTTTACATTTCACCTTTCTTTTAACAACTAATTTGCAAGTACAAGGTAATGCATTTCAACAGGAAATTTGCCCAAATGATCTTGTCTCTTGTAGGCTCTAAACGCCTCTGCATTCTAGTTACAGGAGTTTAAATGTATTCTTTAGCGTTGACACCCACACGATTAAGGTCAGGATGCTGCTATGCCCCAAACCATCTGGAATCTTTTCTTTCAGAATTCTGTGTTCATCATCATTATAGTTATTGTGTGTACAGGGCTCTACAGTTTCTATGGCACACTCACAGACATCACCGCTCTTGGTCTCCACAAGGTACAGAAAGGGTTCCCATGAACTCAGTTTTAGAGATGAGGAAACGGAGGCTTCATAATGTTAAGTGACTAGCCCAAGGTCACAAGACTGGAAATGTGAAGGCAGTGGGTTTTCTGCCAGGCCCAGTGTTCTCTGATACATTGTTTGCCTGCAGCTGCCCCTGGAAGGATTGATGTCAGTAGCAGATGGCAGTTTTGTGGTGGGGCTGGCTGCCTCTTGATGGCATTCCATTGTTTTCCCTCTTACTTTGATCCTTTGCCTTTGTTGCTTGCCTCTGAAGAATGTTTGACCAATCACCAAAAATAATGCCTGATGCCAATTACCTTCCTCCCTGGATAGCATTTGACCAATTTGTAAACACTCTGCCTAGTTAGACAGATTTTGTCCTCTGTGAATTCTGTGAGGGGAACTTTTGATTTTTAAAAATGATACTGAGTTCTTTGTAAACATACTCTCTTTTATCTCTTTTTGAAGAATTTATTGACCTAACAAAGGGAATGTTTTACAACAGTTTTTTTTTTCCTGTTGTAAAATATTTCAGACTCATGCCTTCTCTTGCTTCATCAGATACTTGAATTCCTTTGATTAAATACCTGCAATGCAGTAGTATACCATATGCTTGTTCATTTCCAGTGATGGGGAACTCACCACCTCCAAAGCCCACATATTCTATCTTTGGACAACTCTGGCTGTTAAAAGTGGTTTTTATGTTGGATTAAATAAGTCTCTTATCCATTTATTGGTTCTATAATATCTGCTCTTTGGGACTTTGTAGAACAAGAAATAGGCTTCTCCATGACCGCCCATTGGATATTTGGAAACCCTGATCATAGCCACTGGACTTGGATTATCCTCACTTGCTGATTTACAATAGTTTACTGCTGCTTATCTTCACTCTGCTTTGAATCTACTGCATCCTGGGTTGCAAACTCCAGTGCCTTTGGGTGCTTGGCAGGTAGAATAAATGAGTGATGATGGCCAAGTAAGATTATTTGTGGCAGCTGCTCCATGACCTCAGCAAGGGCAATATAAGAAGGGGTTGTGGTGATTCTGATGGGCCTGTACAAATGGGCAACCAGTTTTATCATTTAGGAATGTAGGCCCAGCTATCTTTCAATTTTTCAACAGATGCCAGAATCTGGATGAAAGCTTTATGCTTTTAAAGAGGTTTTGCCACCCTGGCTGGTTTTCTCAGTGGTTAGAGCATGGGCCCACAAACCAAAGAGTCGTGGGTTCGATTCCAACCTCGGTTGCGGTTCATCCCTGGCCCTGGTTGGGGGTCATGCGTGAGGCAGCCAATCGATGTGTTCTCTCTCACATTGATGTTTCTCTCTCTCTCTTCCTCCCCCTCTATCTAAAAATAAATGGAAAAATATCCTCTGGTGAGGATGAAAAAAAAAAAAAAGTTTTGCCAAATAGATCTCCAAAAGATGATACTATCAAAAGTCTTCTTCAAGAGTAGTACTAAGTACTAAATGAGATCTTCTAGATGTGGTCAGAGAAAGAAAACAACTTACCTCTTTTACACTGTATGTAATGCTTTTATTAATATAGCCTAAGGGTTGAATTAGCCTTTTCACTGCCACCCCCTCACTGCACCATATATATTTATATCTTCTATATTTTTTCAATCCACTAGGCAAGGATCCTTGTCAGAGAGAAGGAAAATGAAATGAATTTGATATGATTTATTCTTGGTGACCCTGTGCTGGCTCCAAATGAACATTGCTTCCTGTCTGAGGTGCTCACAAATGCCCCTTTTCAAATCTGTTCAAGAACCTTGCCCGAGAGTGACATCATATTCTCTAGTCAGAACTGGCAAGCTGTAACTTGTCCCCCTTTTGAAATTAGAACATTTGCCCATCCACAGCTTTTTGGCACCTGTCCTATTTTTCACAATTCCCTCAAAGACCACTGATAGTGTTTGGTAATCTTATTTGCAGGCGTTCTCAGTATCCTGGACTCTAATTCATCTTGCTGTCAGACATAATGGTCTGTTCTACATTTATTCAGAGTTCCCATTTCCATTTCAACCTAATGGAAAATTGAAATAAAAATGCAGTGATTGACTTTCGTGTTTTATTTTTTATTACACGACTCTAATCATTTTAGTCTATCTTAATAGCAAAACTCTATAATTTTGGGAAAGAAAAGCAGGTATTGAAGAGGCTCACAGAGAATGCATTCGTTTAAGCTTTCATTCAGTAAACATTGAGTATCTACTTTGTTCTTAATTTTGTGCTGGGCATCGTGAGAGATGCAAAGTATACGATACATTCTTGGCTTTCTAAGAGTTTTTGTGGAATATGGTGATAAAATCAGTGAAGAAAAAACAACAACACAGAAAACTTCCGACTGAGCACCCGATGAGTTCAGTCTTAAAGGGATTGTGCCACAGAGTAAAGGTTGGACAAACTCCTTCAGAACCCTCATTGCCTTCAACGGGTTTCAGTGAGGAATGCAGGCTGGGTTGGTTGGGGAAGCAATGGGGAGTCGGGGAGACTGTGGCTGAGTAGGGGGCTCACCTGGAGGAGGCAGCCATTGCTCAGCTTCAGTCTGTCATTGCCAGAAAAGGTGAGCCCAGAGTGGTCTGCTCTTTCAGTGTTTCAAGGGAATCTAGATTTTAAAACAAAATTGCCTGAGTTTTATTTTTGAAATTTCTTATTACAATTTAAAAAATTCAATTATTGAGCTGTCAGTGTTCTTCATATATCCTGCATACAAGTCCTTTATCAGATATATGATTTGCAAATATTTTCTCCCATTCTGTGGGTTGTCTTTTCACTTTTTCCATAGTGCCCTTTGAAGCACAAAAGTTTTTAATTTTTATGAAGTTCAGAGTATCCATTTTTGTACTCTACTCATGCTTTTGGTATCATAGCTGAGAATTATTTGCCAAATCCAAGGCCATGAAGACAAACTCCTGAT